TTGGTACTTTTAATGCGCAAAATTCAACATCTCCTGTCGCATGTCACGCGAACTTCAGGCATATATTTTTTTCACAAATTTGGGCGGAGCCCACGTCAAAACTTTTTTAGCGAGTAAGAGGGATCTTAAGTAGCGTCCTGATTGATATTTTGTGAAAATACGACGTTCTTTGTTTGAAACTCATAGATCCATGTTCGGTATTGTAATACTCATTAGACTACTGTGTGCAGAACTATCGTGAAATTTTTCAGTTAGGTAGCGAGTACCATAGACAATAGAATTTTGATTTTGAACTAAAAAGAGCGCCTTTGTGATAGGTGTAGTAGAAAAATACTGGTCTGTAGAGAATAAGCTAGCGGAATACGTTCTAAACTGCGCACTCATATACATATATTATGATCTGTTGCATTCTTAGGAAATCACCACACGCAATAATCCATAACCGGCTTGAGCCGGGGCAGAAAAAGTTGATGTATAAAATTTTTAACAAATGAAATGCCTGAATATTATGTCCGACGAGTTAAATTGTACATCGCCGAATATACCTTAGTTAAAATTTGACCACCCTCAATTGTCGCCTTCAGTCCTATGGAAAATGTACATATTACGCTTCATTTCAATAATGCGAATTTATATGACAGGACAATTCGATTGATATCGAGTTATAGAAGACAGGATAATTAGCAACGCACAGGTGCAAAGCTCGTAAGCTAGGTCGTCTCATTTCGGTGGTAAACAGTGTAATTATAAAAACACTGTTACCGCAAGTATGGCGTCGTAATAATGAATTAACAATAGTATTTGTTTTTGTTAAAAGTTATAATGACGGGTGAATTGTTTATGCGTGTTATTGTTTTTGCTTTCGGAAAACTTTGTATAAGTTATTGTCCATAATGCGTTCTCGTTGGTTATTTTTTAGTGGGACGACGAAAATAATATTATAGAGACAATTCTTATTGAGTCTAGCAAAGTAATGTATTGGTGAAATCCCCTCTTTGTCGAAACGACAATTGCAACAATTTAGTATAATAGGTGACAGAGTGAGTGACTACCTTAAGCTGTGCTTGCTTGTGTTGCAGCTCCTGCTCCAGTTTCTCGTTCAGGTCGTGCAGCGAGGTGGACTCGCGCTGCGCGTTCAGGTACCGCTTCTCCAGAGTAGCTATCCGTTCCTCCTGTAACCATAAACACAGCTTGTATGAAACACACGTGTCTAATAATAGACTGCGTAATTTTGCCCACCCTTTCAGAAGACAGGTTTAATTATATATATATTGTGTGAAAGAAAAATATGAAAACATATTTCGAAATAACATTTTTAACGTGGCAATATTCGAAAAGTAACATTTTTACCAATCCGTCAAAATAATTTAAATCTACCTTATTTATTATTTAATCTTATTTATTATCTACCACAATCATTGACTTAAAATATATGGACGTCGGGTCCGCGCTAAAAAGTGTCTGAACTTATAGGCCGTTAAAATCGTATACAGAGCGTCATTCACGCTTTTGTCTTCGTTTGTTCGACTGACAGCGAAGCAAGCAAAATTAGACAGTACTGCGATGACATTACAATTTAAATTCAACGTTTTAGCTTTTTCATATTCCTTTACATGTCACTACGTTTAAATAGGTTGACTTGGGACATTTTTTTCGTGGTTTTTGTATTAGACCCGTCGTCCATTTATTTGTAAGTCAATGACCACATTCGACAAATATACAAGTATCGCACGTAGTGTATTAACTCAAAAAGTGTATTTTTTCAGAATCGATGAATTCACTTCCGCGAATTACAGACATACATACATACATATACCTCACGCCTTTTTCCCAACGGGGTATGCAGAGACAACAGTCTTCCACTTGCATATACGCTCGTCGGTTAAGGGTACTCTTCACCTGACCCTTACAGACATCTAAACAATTTCTTAATTGCCAAATATATTTCAAAAAATTAAGGAAATAATTATTTCATATTTTTAAGTAAAGACCGTCTTGTCCAGAACCAGCTTACAAAAAGTTGTCTCATTTTTAGTTAAGTTAGTACCTAGTCTTTTCATTGTCTTTTAGTGTTTCTTACAATATTCTAACGACGGTTTTATTGACGTGTAGAGAATTAAATTTAACTTTTAGCAATAGCAATAATCTTGAATTTCACATATTTAGATACACAACACTATTGTAATAGCAGTGCAATATGTTCGTACATAGAGCTTGACATGACCTCTACCGGTAAAATAACACAAAGGAAACAAAAATATTTGACGCAAATAAAAAAAAAATTCAAGACAGTGTAATAAAATCTCCTTTCAATATAATGCAATAGAAACTATTTCTATGTGTTCTATTCTGTTAATTCGTTCAGTACCCATTAAGGATCTTGTATGTATTTTCTAGTAGCATGGTTTACCTGGTCTTCTTTCTGTGCAACGTTCTCCCTGAGGTCCCTCTGTAGTTTGGCGCACTCGTCTTGTTTCTTGGCGAGCTCCTTCTCGCCCTTGGTCAGTCTTTCTTCCAGCTCTGATACCTTGTTATTTAGCTCCGCAACTCTTCTCTGCCATGAGCTCAGTTCTGCTGACTGTGAAATTAATAATATAAAAAAAGCTTTAAAAAAGCTTTTCGAGAGCTTATTTTTTTATGTGATATAATAAGTTTGGTTCAAACGAGTTGCAAAAAAAGATCAGACGATATTAATAATCGTCCATTAATTTGCTCTCCTGTACATTACATTTTTCACAAAATTAAGATTTGTTTTTCTATCCTCGCGTATAATGACGGATAAAGTAATATAAGGAGAAGCACACATCGCAAGCGTGTCTTTTTTTTCTTTATAAACTGAATAAAGCTATCAATTTTCAAAATTAAATTTACTTACCTGAACCCAAAATTAAAAAAAAGTTAGTGCCTTTATCCCAACTACAGTGAATTCGTGATTATAGTGACATGGTGTTCCTATGTGTTAGTTGTCGATGTGAGATGTTAGATGATTATGGTTGGTTAGTGTCGTGCTCCTATTCAGTTTTCTTTTTTAATTTTCTAAAATTACTTTGCATGCAATTACTAAATTACAATACGACCGTTCTTCAAAAAATGTTTTAAATGAGTTTTAATTAATTTAAAAGAAAATACATTGAAAATTTTTTATTATTAAACAGTAAATTAAAATATGAATGGAATTATACTTATTTGCGAATAGGGAAAAATTTAAACAGGATCCATTATTTAGATTAAAATAGCATGGCATTAAAAAATAGAAGAAAAAAGTTATAAAATTATCTTGATCACATTACGACTGGTAAAGAAAATAATATAACGCGTTATCTTCAATGTACTTCCCGTAGATTTAAGTCAAGTGCACGTCAAATTTGACACTTTTTGGACTGTGGACCATTTTTGTCACAAGCGGCTATAGTTGAGTTTAAATCTCAAGTGTCAAGTTTAACGTGTTTTTAACTTTGTACATGCATCTTACAGGCATATCATATCAATAAATGTTTTTTTAATGTCAATATAATGCGCTAGACGGTGACACGATCGAGCAATGGCAATACCAGTTCTCAGGGTCTGTTCGTTTCATAAATTTAACGTAATTTAAATCGAAGAGTCGAATTGACTATGACATTCATGGTATGCCATACAATGTCATCTTTTAAGAACGACACGCACAACTTGAGGCTGGAAGCTTTATCTATGAAAACAAGCCGGAGATATAATTATTTCATACTCAAACTACGTGGTTTTAATCTTTCATACTACTGACATTGTTATAGAATAGCTCCGGTTTGATAGCACAGATTTACGTATGGATAAACTTCAACATGTGTGTCGACCTTAGGTTTTATTGAAAATGTTAATAACATGTTGCGGTATGTTGGTACTTGTTCTAACCTGTTTTGCAATAGTGTTTTGGAGGTCAGTCACTTTCCTGCTGGTCTCCGATTCACCGTTAACACTATTTTGTTCCTGTGTCCACCATCAAAGAGAAAAAAACGTTAACTAACATGCTTAACTCTAGTTTTCGTTAAGCCAAACTTTTGTATTTGTTGGTTTTAGTGGTTCAATGAAAAAAAGTATTTCTTTACACTTTTTACAGTTCGACAGAATAATCGACACTGGCCTATTGTAACTGGCTTTCGCAAATTTTTCATAGGACCGATTTCATTCGCATCTTGTACTCTGACGCGGCAACATCATTCGGAAATATTCGTGGTTTCCGACTATTCCCGACGGTTAAACACCTTTATTCACTTCATCTGCGAAACAAATTCCATTGCTACAATTAGAAGCGCAAACCATAACATGGTTATCAAACTATTCTGCTCTTTGAAACTTTCAGAACTAAAACCAACAAATACATATTACAAACACTGAAAATACACACTTCGCACAAAATAAGTTCAAGCAGCTATCTCAAACACTTCAAATATAATTTAAATAGTCTAACCTTAAATTCTTTCATGTTTCTTTTTAATGTTAGTGTAACTGTTACGTGGTGTAAATCCAATACTTATGTAAACTGTTTAATGTATTTTATAGTGACAGTGTGAAAGAATAGAGAGAAAATTTAGATCCCAACAATATATGAATTCCCTTCAACTACCAATTAGTATTTATGGTGCTTAAAAGCTAATCAAATTTACATTTTTACATACACAACATTATTTATTTAACAGAGATAGATATACATATAAGTGGAAACACATAGACCAAAAAATTCATTCTGATTTTGTGGCCATACTAGACACGAATGTATCTTAATTTTCCAGTTCTTTGCTTACGAAAATTGGCAATAAATAACATTATCTAAATCATGTCTGTTCGTGTCTGATTTTGTCCTGCAAAGTACTAAAAAATATATCTTCCTTAGTGTGAAGCCAGCTTGGAAGGAATTTGAATTTACGTAGTACCATTTTCGAAACTAGTTTTTTAATCAATCTAAAGGCGTATAAAGTAATCATGTTAGTGGTCAGTGCCTTTACCTTAGTTTGTTGTTGCTCGCCGTTCTGCTCGGGCGAGCCGCTGGGCACGGTGCCGTTTTCTTTCGGCTTATCTCCGTCTTGTCCGCCCGATTGTTTGTATTGCAATAACTGAAAATAAAAATTTTACAAACATTTACCAATCAAGTAAACACCTCCGGTGAACAACTAACGAACGTTTATAATATAGTTATTTTTGATACAAGTGCGGAAAGTTAGTCATTATTCACGAGTCTCGAGGCATCTTGGCCCGAGCCAGAGGCGAGGGTCAAGACTCGAGACAAGTGAAAATGACAAATCCGCATGTGTATCAAACAACGTTTTTTAATACATTTGCGAAAAACCTACATTGAAAGTAAAATAAAACAGTATTTAAAAAAAACCTCATTTTATTCCTTTGTCAATAACAAAATCAAATCGTAAAAAAGTTAATGAAAACGGCGGGAATGTAAACGATGAAAAAAATTAGTACTTTTTTTGGCCGACTTTTTTCAATATGGCAACTGTTGCCAGTATTCAGCCACATTAAAATTACTATTTTATATTCATTGACTTACAAATAAATGGACCGACGGGTCTAATACAAAAACCACGAAAAAAATGTCCCAAGTCAACCTATTCGAAATTTAAATTGTAATGTCATCGTAGTATCGCGCTGTCAGTCGAACAAATGAAGACTAAAGCGGAGTGTCGCGCTCTGTATACGATTTTAGCGCCTTACAAGTGCGGACACTTTTTAGCGCGGACCCGACGTCCATATAATTGTAAGTCAATGTTTATATTACTTTATTTTCTACATAATCGCTACTAAGGAGCATTTACTTCATAGGTGTAAAAATGCGGTTTCTCCATAGATATAGTATAGTAATGACGAATGACTTACGTCACAAAGCACATAAATATGAAATAAATATACAATCTCTTTAGTTCTATGTTTAAGACTTAAAACAACAGTAAATTTAAAAAAAACTCGAAAAGTAAAAAGCACTAGTGCGAGAAATCCAACTTTCCGCACGATTTCTAGTGCGAAAAATACCACGTTTTGAGCAACTGTATTAAAAAAGCGTTTACCTGTAGTGTTTTTTGACAATACTTATCTAGGTATATGTAGAAAAATATTTTATTACAGATAATTTACAGACCAGTTTGTTAGTAAACACCTACCTCACTATAAAATACTAACTAAAGACAGACTGGACATCACACCCGCCGTGATAACCGAACTCCCAGTTTAGTAACACCAGGCGCACGGCTTGTTAGTCCCTTCACTTGGTATTATGGAAATATAAATAAAAAAAGTTAATTTCCGTGAACCAAGTCACCAGATCAGAGTCTACAAAAATCTTCTATAATCTTGACAGTTCTGTTCGAGCTCTCTTCGCCGACCGGACACCACTTTCATTTGCATCACTGTGGAAAAAAACCTTCAAACTAGCATAAGTTTCAGTATTTTAACGAGTACTTACTTCTTCTTTGGTTAACGCAAGTTCTTCTTCTAAAGCTGTGTTTCGCTCTAACGCAACGCGCAACCGCTCCCGGACCTGAAACACAGAACAATGTTTAGATTAACAATTTATATTCTATCCAAACGCATTTCCTCCGACAGATTTCTTTTCCCGATATAGTATATGACAATTCCGTCGTATCCTGAAGAATGGTTTACAAGTTTGGATAACGCAGTTGAAGAGTCGATGCATTAAACAAAAACCGTCTTTTTGCCGTAAGGAGGCAACTTCGGTTGCTCGTGAAACAAGTACAACTCGACGAAATTACGGCATGACGCGAATGAAGCTTCATACTTGGCATTTTCTTTAAATATGTTCAAGTATTATTTATTTGACAGTAATTGTTTTACATTAGCATATTAGAATAACAAGCGATATGCATCTTCTATTTATCTACATAAAAAGAGACGTGTATCGTCGTAACTGTCTATCTATGTGTGTCAAAATATATAATTCGCTACCAATTGAGATAAAAAATACGCCAAATATAATGTTCCGAAAAAGGTTATTTAAATGGTTGTCCAACTGTTATTTTTATTCAATTCAAGAATATTTTGACTACAGAAAATAATTACATATTTATTTAAACTTGACATTATTGCGACTTGTTATTTTAAACGTAGGTATATAATTGAATAAAATATTTTAATAATTAAGATAAGTACCTACACTAAACTTGTGGCAAATTAGGTTATTTAAATGGTTGTCCAACCGTTACATTTATTCAATTCAAGAATATTTTGACCACAGAAAATAATTAGATATTTATTTAAACTTGACATTATTGCGACTTGTTATTTTAAATGTATATATAATTGAATAAAATATTTTAGTAATTAAGATAAGTACAGTAAAATTGTGGTAAATTTTCATGCTATTACTAGCTAAGTGTGAGAACCTGTTAATACAAACATATGTTAATCCAACTATGTACACCACACTGCGAATAAATTATTATTATTATCGTATCGATGGTACAAACTATATCACGGTGCATTGTACAAGATATGCGAGATGTACCATCGTTTGAATCGCACCACATAAACAATATGGATTTAGAGACATCCGAATAACCCTAAACAAATAGTCCTCGATCATGGTAAACCAAGTCCAGGTAAAGTAAAGGTTAAATTTACTTAATGACCCAGAAATTGTTCCTGTTGCTATTGACTTTTGACAAAAGAAATTAGTTACACCAAATTTCGTCAGCTAACGAGGGTCTAGAAATCTATAGTTAATTTGCCAGCTTTCAATTTCGAATATTTCACGGTAGATTTGTACATTGAGAGCGGTTGTAGCACAGTGGTAAAATGGTTTCAAAATGGAAAAATCTTTATTTGGAGCAGACCTGTGACTAGCAATAGGACATATCGCACTGTTAATACAATAGTGTATTAACTCGAAAAGTGTACTTTTTCAGAATCGATGAGAAACGAATTACTCACGTCCAGCGAAATATTATTCAAATTTATGTATAGGTTAAAGTTTATTTATTACAGACATATAAACAATTCCCTACTTGCCATGTATAAAATAAAAAGAAAAAAAAATAAAAGAAAAAAATAACTTCATATTTTTTAGAAACTTATTTATTAAGACAGTTTTATCTAGAACTAGTTCGCAAAAAGTTTATCTCATTTTGAATTAAGGAGATTTATTTGAATTGTTTCTTACAATATTTGAACGAAAGTTTTATTGACATGTAGAGAATAAAATTTTACGTTCAGCAATAGTATAATCTAGAATTTCACATATTTTGAGTTACAAGACTATTGTAATAGCAGTGCGATATGAAACGTTACAGCCCGGACAGTCAAAATCAAATAATCATTTATTCCTTAGGTAACATTTTTACTACTAACTACTGTTCGTTCACTGCGCTGACCTCCCTAATAAGAACGAGCAAGAAACTCTAGGGATTGCTCATTTCAAATAAACTTAAATGCTAGGGAATATACTTTGAATCAAAACTGTGTAGAATCTAGACCCATGTTGTCTTTCCATACATCTTTATTATACATACTCTTAAATTTTGTAATATGACCTTTCGATTAAAATACTTTTGATGTAAGTTTTAAACTTAGGAAATGATCTTAATATATGCTCCGGAATCTTATTGTAAAAACGTATATAGTTCCCCATAAAAGAATAGTTTACTTTAGTTAGAAAGAATATTCTCTATTTAGTCTTGCCTATAACTGAAACAATAGAATGAACATTCGCCGGCATTATTTGATAAGAGGGTAGACAGGAGTAGAAGTGACAGTGTAATAATAACGAGTAGGCCTCGCGTTATTGTGTTTAAGCCTGATTAATGCTGTACTGGCACTCAAGGAGCCCAGGCTTTCATTTACGACATATACAATACGTAGGCAGGCAAATGAAATTGTTCCTGTGATACACAAGAAAGAATCAGAGAGCTCAGGTTGTGGTTTACTTTGCTGGACAAACGCTAAAAAGTCGTCATTTTGCTTGGGTCGAGCGGCTTGGACACTGGATTTATTTATTTTTACAAACGAAAACAAACCCATTTGAAAAATGTATATCGTATACTAATCGTGTTCTCGCGCGCGATAAAATTGAAATAAGCGCGCGCTATTGGCTATCTAAATTAGATCTGATTGAGACTTGCAATAGCGCGCGCTTATTCCAATTTTATCGCGCATGTCGCGACTATCATGCGTAGCCATGCTACGGGGGCAGTTGATATTAAAAAAAATCACTGGTGTAAACAAAATTCTGAGGTAAATTTGTCTTTTTTTCTATCGTGAAATTTTTTAGGCATCGTGTTTTCACACCGTATACTAATCAGTATATATCCTCAATTATACTATATATTTTTTTCAAACTTATTAATTCAACACTTTCACTGTTATGGCGAATCAACCAAAGCGCTTTGAGGTATAGACTCTTAAGGTGACGGGCGCAATGGCAGTGCCCTCAGATCTTTACGATTTAAAGTCTTGAGTGGTAATGCAAATGTTATGGATAGGCATGTCGCTTACCACCAGGAGCACAACTTGTTCGTTACGTTACATGACATAATAAGTGAAAAGGACACTCCGTTAGCCAACAGAACTTTCTCAAAAAAAAAGAGACCTCAAAACTTTTTTTTCGGCTTTTTTATTGGAATTACATCTATTTACCAAGTTTTAGTGACACCAGTAAACGGAAAGTGCGATAAATTGGTTTCATCACCTAGTTTGCCACCCTTAGAGGTGGAATATTTTCTTCCAATTTAAATGGGACCAATACTGAGGTACCTTCTTCCCAATAAAAAACAATGATCAAAATCGGTTCACAAATCAAGTAATTTGTGAGTGTGATCAAATGTGAGTAATCTCGTAACACACACACACACACACACACACACACACACACACACACACACAACAATACAGTCGAATTGAGAACCTCCTCCTTTTTCAAGTCGTGTAAATAAGGTCACAAGATACTGAGTTTTAAGGTCGTATTCCAGAACTCTACTCAATGCTCAAGTCACGACTTGAGTATGATTTAAAGCACTAGAAATCATACTCAAGTCCTTGCCATTACGGTCGTATTTCCACACTCTACTCAGAGTTCTGGAATACGACGCTTAGAGGACTGAAGTACTTTATGTGTGCTGTATGTTTAGAAAGACGTACGTAGCCCACAAACACGAACAATAAAAACAGTGATAGGAAACGTTTTTGTTCATATCCATACTACACCCTATTAGCATCATTGGCATCATGAGTCGTCAAACGGTTCAAGGCTTATTTTGTCTTGGCGTAACGAAGCTAATCTCATGCGAAAACTTCTAGATATTATATTACACAGGTAAACAGATTACACAGGATATTGTCAAACAAAATGATTTATGCTACGGCCACACTAAGGTTTAATGGCACTAATTATCTCATTAATCGAGACTAAGCGTCGGTGTAGCCGCGATTTAACGCGATAATTTTACTACGGCATGCACTATGGCATTAGATATTAGACAATAGCTCGGGTGGCTGTCTTTTTTGGCACATCAAAGGATTAATAGCGTTATTTAATGCGTGTAATGGCTACACTGACGTTATTAACAATCCAGACTAATTATATGTATGGTTTTCACATGTTAATCCTTAAACGATGGAAAGGTCCAGTTAATCACATGGGACTTATCAACTTATATGACAAGGTGACGGACGCAGTGGGACTGATCAGAACAGAGCTTACGACTTGTTCGTCACTTGTCACAACTTTTTTATAAAAAAAACCGATCTCAAAAGTTCGCGGAATCACACCTGTTTGCCAAGTTTTGTTGAAATCGGTTTCCGGAAAATGGAACCGGATTCATCCCCTAGTTAGCCACCTCTCCAACAAAAAAAGAATCATCAACACGCACACAAAAAAAATACAGTCTAATTGTAAACCTCTTCTTTTTTGAAGTCGGTTAATTATTGTGCAGCATGAGCGTAACAGGATACCACGTACGTTTCCTGTGTATTTTTATCACATACCATCTTATTAAGTATTGGTTTTGCTTCTTTCAAAAGATTGAGAAAGACACTCATGAAAATAACAATAACGCAGCAAATTTTAACTTCTATCTTTTCGACAAATAATTTAGACGCTAAATCTTAGTGTAGCCACTCTATTGGACGCGATATTTTAGGCAGTATTTTTACGCCTCAATTATTGCGATAATAGATGTTAATAAAGGAGTGGGTCTTAAGATCAACATGGACAAGACGAAGATCATGTCGAGTGTCCATGTTGTACCCGCTCCAGTTAAAATTGGGAGCATTACACTCGAAGTTGTTGACCATTACGTATACCTGGGGCAGACAGTCCAGTTAGAAGACTTAGATTTAGAGTTAGATTACCATCTTTCCTCGGTATTGGTCCCATTTAAATTTGAAGAAAATATTCCACCTCTAAAGGTGGCAAACTAGGGGATGGGCAAACTAGGGGATGAATCCGGTTTCGCGCACTGCAACTAAGCTCTGAGTGGCACTGCAACTATTGAGGATAGGAGTGTCGCTTACCAGCAGGCGCACTTGTTGGTCCCGTCACTTGGTATTGTTAAAAAAAAACACGCTTCCGCAGTACAAATATTCTTTAACAACGGTATTTGCCCAAAGCATACGTCGTTCTGGTGTAACAAACCTTTTCGTCCAGTGCTTTGTGATGCTCGAACAAGCTCTTGAGCGCCTTGAGCACTTCGACTTCGGAGGAGACCCCTGACTGCGCAGCCGCCTGCCGCTTCACCACTGTCATGCGGAGAGACCGCTCGTGTCTTGAAACCAGACATTCTAGGTGTTCCAGGAGTAGCTGAAACAATGCAAAGAATTTCAATTTCGTTGTCATTAATAAACAAAGCGCTTTGCTTCTTCCTTCCTATGAGTACTACAAAGGAATGGAATTACACCACTGGCATCTGGTGTTTCCCGAAAATGTATAATTACATGCTACGGGCTATCCAGTACTAGTTAGCCGCTTTAAGGTGCTTTTCCACCGGCGAGGCGAGGCGAGACGAGGATTGAAATTTGTATGGCAAAATTTCAATTCTCTCCAAGCGCCTATTCGGTGGTAATGGTCTGGATTGGCGAGGACGTGTGAGGCGAGAATTTAAATATTTGTTGATGTAATATCGAACAGTATTTTGCCAACAGATTATTTATTAACTCCGCAACGGACACTCAATTTCTCGCGAGAATTCGCGAGTGCCCGCACGTTCTCGCGCGAGCTCGCTATGGCTCTTAATATCAACCGCAAAATTGTGGGTTATGTACTATTAGAGATTTTTAAAAAAGATGGCTTTACCTGATTCTTCTTCCGTTAACATATTTAATAATAATAATTTACGGGAATCGCTACTTCAGCTGCGTGTAAACCGCTAAACCAACTGAACAGCACTGAATTGATGTTCACAACCAGAGCGCGAGATATTAATGGCAATTTTTTGTGGAAATAGGCCGGCGAGATTTCAATTCTCGTCTCGCCTCGCCGGTGGCAAAACACCCTTAGACTCGGAGGAGCAAAAAGTAAAGAGATTTATTAGTTCTCTTGTGTAGTCTAAACAACAAAATTTCGACACCACTTCAGAAGTGGCCTACTTGTCGGGTTTTTTATTATACATGTATAATATTTTACAAAATATTTGTAACTTTTACTAAAATCACACATAAACGAAATCAAATTCTCAATCGTCCCTTTTAAAACTGTGCGGATTGAGTGAGCATAACAAAGTATTTGTAAAAATTTGAAAATGCCGCTAATCGATCTGTAATTAAAGATGATAGTTTAACAAAACTTTTTACTAACAACTAGTACAATAACATTATATGCAAACTTAATACTTTTGTAGACCTGACTGGCCGTCTGTGACAACTGAGTGAGCACCACAGACATATATCTAGATCAGCCTTTCCCAAAGTGGGCGATAACGCCCCCTTGTGGGCGCTGCAGGCCTAAAGGGTAAGAGACCCAGACCGATAGGAATAAGACAAACATACATAATCTCGTTCATCTCATTCGACGCTCAATCGTACCTACTCAACAATTAAGAACAAGTATTCTATGAACCAGCCGATTGATACAGGAATGCACAAATCGGGTTATTTAACAAAAACTTGTTAAAGCATGATTGCCCGCGGTCTATTATCTACGAAAATTACCTATCTAGGAATATTAATAACTATTAAAACTGTGTCTGTTACCTTTTTTAATGTTTGTTTGTGTCTACTTTCATTTCGAAACGGAGCGACCGATTGACATGATTTTTATTTTATTTTATTCAATAAAACAGGACAGATATATGAACTACACGGAGAGAAATATCGAACCGAGTTAGTTTAAGCAATCTCTTAATTAATATAAGTTGGTGTTCTCAAGTCGTAGTCGAGAGTCGAGAGCTCAGTTGGTGTCTAAGAGTCTTCCTAGATGAAATTACAAATCTCCCCCTAAGCCTCTACACAACGCCCCCATTTTTTTTTCTTGATCTCTTAACCCCCTTCAGGCCTGCAGCGCCCACAAGAGGGCGTTATCGCCCACTTTGGGAAAGGCTGATGTAGATATATGTCTGTGGTGAGCACACATTAAGTTATTTTTGCCTTGTTTAATCTTTTTACAAATAGAAAGATTGGTTTCTGATATTATTTTAGAACTTTTACTAAATGACTAATACATTTTAAACGTTTTATAGAGGGTGCTCACTCAATCCAAACACACACGAATCAACACATGTGTAATATACATATGTTTATTTATGACCACAGGCTTCTGTTTTCTCTATAAAAAATAAGTTTGTGGTATTAATCCAGAAACTTTTGTAACCTTAGTGGCAAAACCTAATCTAATTTAAATAGTTAACGTAACAGCTTTGTATGTTTGTAACATTTCACAAGCATCGATCGTTTTCAAAGCGATCAATGGATCGCTAGTATCAACTAAATAGGGTCTGCAAGTATCACATTATTTCAAAATCATATTCTGTGGAGGAGCGTTTATTTCAAGAACATATTCCGTGAGGACTAAGTTATTTCAAAATCATATTTTGTAGGGTCTAGGTCTTTTCAGAATTGTATTCTGTAGGCATTAGACTATTGAAACAAATTTAGTAACTGAATTTTACGTTCGGCCTCTCTGTTTTCGCAATTATATTTGTTCGTGTTTGCTGTACTAATTTATGTCCATACGAGATTCAATCTAAACATTAGTGGCCGACGTTCGAGTTTACGTTGTTGGCTTTCGATACATGCGCACATACCGTGGTTAATACAATTCCATCTGGCTTTTTTGCGAGTTAAAATGCCCGTGAACTTTTATGACATTGGTGTTATGTAACCTCACCTCGTCACAGGTGCTATGTGCTAAAAAAATATAGTTATTGCTTTAAACGATAATGAAATTGTCTCCATTTCAACTATATTAAGGTTTGATATTCGTCTTATTGTTTGATTGCAGTATATAAGCGTATATTCTTTGACTATGTATGTTATGGTTTATTTGAAAATATTACGAGAGAAATCTTTACGAAGAAGATTCATGAAACTTTTCGACAAGAATTAGTAATTAAAGCTTGTATTTACAGGAACGATCAAAGCAATAGCATCAATGTTAGGTAATGTCTAGAACAATATTCAGCTTGATAAATATTGTCAGCTACGTCGACAAGTTTTATGGACGTGTACCTGTCCAGGACAGACCGGGAGTTGAATTTAAATTGGGTTGGAGCTAGAAACGCTATGCAGATGAATTTGTTTTTGAATAAGTAATATTGAAAATGTTCTTAGTTTATGGTAGTAAAGCATTGTGCTACCCAAGTAACTGAATAGTACAATTACTATAGGGACATCATCTCTAGTCAGGTAGTCTGCCGCTGGTGGCTATAAAGGTACCTGGTTGAGTGAAGAAAAATTTTCATAATTTCACAGCTGGCGCTACGGTAAAAAAGTAGTTAAAAACCAAAAGCAAAGATCTGCAACAGCCACATAGAAAAATTCGTAAGGTCTCTTGGTTCCATGTTGGTTCGTTTCGTAGCGTAGTTGGAACAGCGTCTGACACGGTATTGTAGGCTAGGCTGCATGATTTGTGTCAGGACAGATTAGCATAGAAAATCCTGTTACTTCTAGAATAAGCTTTGAATTGAATACGCGTAGTAAAGTTTTATTTATGTTTATTTCCCTCGTTTCTCATTGAAATGTGCCTCTCGCTACGCTAACCCACGGCTACGACAATTACAGAATGCTGGGTTACTCCAGTCTGATCGAAAGCAGTTATCTTAATGTTAGATAATTATAACAAACTAGTGCAGTAATTTCACAAAAAACTTGGTAAAACATCTTGATATTCAATAATAATGAAAATGGTTGCTTCTGGCAATCGAGCTTGGAACTATACCTACTATCTTGAAATGCGAAATTTCAAAAAAAACCAATATGTTATCTAGTGGAGTTATTTTTACTAAGTGACTAGTTGAAGTAAGTAAGAGTAGAAGGTGACTTAGTTGAGGTGTTCTAGCTCCAATAATCGCTTGTGAAGTCATATGATTGATAGAGCTATACTTAGACGGCGCATCATCCTACCTACGAGCTTTAATAAAGCATAGTGCCACCGAGGAGACTGAGGACGAATGACGATAAACTACTTACCCTGGTGTTGTTTCTTTCTGCTTTGAGTTCGGAGATTTCTTCCTCTCTCTCGAGGAGCTGCTCTCGGGCCTGATTTAACTCCTTTGTCAGCGTCGCAAACTCCTGAAAACAATGGAAATAGTCGAGTTAGAAACCACACACGAGTGAGTGTAAGTCGTAGTCAATAAGGCTTGTGTCGATCACCGTCCGAAAGCGAGCTGCAGAATTTCAAAAGCTGATCTTCAGGCGGTGACCGTCTCCATGTAGTAACTAACAGATTTCAGAAGTGAATATGTCAGTAGCATTCGTCTAACATAGGATAGTGTCTGTCTTCGTAAAGGTTAGACGTGGAGTGAACAGAGGGTGCCGGCATTGACGAATGTTGTGTTCATTTGTAATTAATTGGCTTGTGTATTAGAATTATTTTCACGATTAGTTATGTTACGTAAATAACGTTTTCATCACACTTTCTCGTGAATAGTATGATTGCTAACTTGACTGTAATGCCCTAGATAAAACCCTCGGGTCTTTTTTCTTCCCATTACAGCCATTGTCGGTAACTAGCTTTTTCTACAAATAAAAAAAACTATATTATCGAGTTCTTAGGTTTTCGCGATTGTTATACATTAATGTACATGTTTCATGTCAGGCAACCGTGACCATAGGAACTGTAAAGGGCCCGAAACGTCGGTTTGTTTGAAAAAACAAATATACGCGATTTAAATCCGGAAAAATAGTTTCATTTCCTATGTGTAACAATCGCGAAAACCTAAGAACTCGATATATGTCCTTGTTGTTAACTTGAATTTGTAAAAACGGACAAAACTTTTTCTTCGAACATAAATGTAAGTTGGCTCGAATTATATGTCCGGATGTGTAAGCATATTAAAGAAGTGGTCAACTTCAAGATTATGAATTAGAGTTGGTATTTCTGAGCGCTATGTTATGTTTGTCTTAGTTTTCCAGTAGTGCAAGGAGTACGGTAAATGTAAAAAAAATTGAAAATTTGATTCCTCGTTCTAACATTGCTGACGTGAGTATTTGTTGAGATGGAATCCATTCAGAAAATGAGAAAATTGTTTTTCATTAGGGTTTCTGCTCGAGAAATCCCGGGAAATGTGGCCAACTTCGAGTCGAGAAAAATATCGAGAAATCAAATTATATTTTTAAATTACTGGAAAATTGACTTTTAATCTTGTGTGCGTCAAGTGTGAGTTGTTTTAAGTTGATAGTAATGACTAATGTTGATTATTTATAAAATGTTCCTAAGAACTATGTGGTTTAGACTGATCGATTTTATAATAATAACGTTTATATTAATAAATAAAAACATGTTGATTTTATTGTAAATTTTGTTTGTTTTTATTTGTATTTATAGTTGACTAAGTTGATTTCTTAAGGGTTTAAAAAAAATCTCGAACAACTCGAGAAACCCGGGAAATCGGGTTCGGGAATTCCCAAAGCTCGAGAAAAAAATACGTCGTGAAATCAGAAACCCTATTTTTCATAGATATTTCTTTATACCATTAATGTACAGGTCTTGGGCTCGGGGTGCATGAAAGGAGCCTTCCATTAGGACATACTATTCATATTCCCTGTACGTCTGGCGCACTCTGGGCAACAATCAGCGAGAACCTTACCGATTACCGAATTCTTTCACAACGATGTCAAACATGTCCCATAGTTCTGAGCTGCAAGGTCTTGTATCTGTAGGTCTTTCTTTGCCATGAACGATCGTGTGCTACCAAAATCATTTGCAATGCATGTATTTACACTTTATGGGCTCTAAACGTAAGTCAGTACAAAACAACGTAGCGACGTGAGAGGTGGCAAAGCTTTCTAACATTCTCAAGTGTCTGCGAAGCGTCTGGCAATCGCTGCAAGTATCCACTCACAGGCAACGCAGCGCGCAGGGGGCCGCGACACGACAGGTGCGGATTATGGGCCTAGGGGAAACACACTTTCCCTAATAAACGGGTACTAGGGGCAATAAGGGACACGGTCAACTAAATACAAATGATACTATTAATGTTAGACTTTTCGTGAACTCAATTTCAAGTTAAAAAGGAAGGTTAACAAAAAAATAAACTCTTTAGGGTGGTCACACAGGGCGTCTTTCGGGAACGATGCAATCGCGCGTTTGGATCGATGCAGTTGCGCGCTTACGTCGCTGCTTAAAATAGCGCGCGTGTAACCGCTCGGTATTGTAACCGTCTCATAAATACATAATTACGTCTTTGTAGTATACGACCTGAATTATATTTCCAAGTTACAAAGTTTGTTAATAGCTTGAAAAAGCTGTTAAAAGGAACCAAGCCATCGCTTGTTAGCTCTCGCACAGACATCAGGTGCGACTGCAGAGTCTGTCCCTTGGGAAATACTACGACGTTACACGCGGGGACTAAGATAGGTGGGGTTATAAGGCAAACTCAATTGCTATACCAAACACAAACATCATCTAACTTTATAGAACATAAATTGAAGAAACATATTACAAGCAATGCAAGGGATGATCTTCAACTGGAAAGGTATTGTTAAAAGGCCTACAAAGTGGCAACAACAATCCATGAACGGTAAAAATAAGGCGTCAAAGCGTGGTCTCAATTAGGTTGATTGTACGTCGCCCCGGAACGGAATAGAAGCAAATCTTTGTATCGAAATTTTATACAACATAATGAATTTAATTAAAAAACAATTAAACTACTTATTGCCTAATTTTATGTACTATACAGTGGTCACAGTTTTTAAATGACAAATTCCTAACTTCATTGTCTAATTTTTTATAATTGTATATTTATTTTGACTCGTTTCAAATTGAGATTTTAAGGCTTTCGTGGTTATTAACTAAATGATTTATCACTAATTACAGGTTTCTTACCACGATATAAACTCATTTTATTCTTTCGATATTTCGGAACTGTATATCACGTCAACCCGTGACCATGGAGCGTGCAACCGTTTCGAAATATCGGGAAAAGGACAAGATATCATATTGGTAAGAAACCTTTGATTAGTGATAATTATTTATTGAAATTATTACTTTGACATCTAGTTACATTTTGCAATTTACTGCCATTGAAATTGACCTTTAAACTCGTAAGAATCACCGCATTTAAATTAGTAACTGAATTTTTAAATCCATAACCATAACTAATTTAGTCTGTTAAAGTGCATGTAAGTAAATGAATAAACCTTCAATGGCTAATGTTCGGTCGGACACAGTGAAAGTATACCTGTTTTCACAACAAATAAATTAATTATGAACTTTATGCTATTAAATACGACAGACAGAAGACAGGCGACCTGTTTTTTTGATTCGTATCTAGTTTCATATAAAGTACAGTGCATGGTATGGTTACAAAAAATCGCATCCATACCGTTTCGCGGCAATCTAAATTGAACGTTACGAACAAGTAAAATAAACTGCTTTAGCCTTTGTAAGACTGCCACGCACTGACTACGTCCCTGTGATTGATTTCATTGAATAGCGCATTGGAATAAAATATTTACCCCCGTTTGAGCGGCAAAGCAGTTCCTCTTCAGAAAAAAAAGCAATTTTTCACAGTACCTACCTGTACAAATTCAAACGTTTACAAATAGTTGCCATCGGTTGAGAAATGAGAAGACCTTTGATGTATTTTACTACACCATTAGGTGAATAATAACAAGATTTAGTAGCGTTTGTCGCTATTTCATTGAAAAGAAAATAAATAACATTGAAAATCTACAGGCCACTCGCAGCCGCCGCGGAATCATGGATACAATATATTGATATAAAAATGTAAGTAGAAAGAGCGGATTTTTTTTTATAACATCAAGTGACGGACGAACAAGTTGTGCGCCCGATGGTAAGCTACAAGCCTCTCCATAACAATTGCAGTGCCACTCAGAGCTTTAAATCGCAAAGATCTGAGGGGCACTGCCACTGCGCCTGTCACCTTGAGACATAAGTTGACAAGTCCCATGTGCCTGTAATTTCACCAGCGCCTTTAAATCTTCTTCTAAAGCCGTATACTCCGTAACCGTTGCATGTTATGTTACCAAAAATCATAATGACAATGTGTACCTAGTTCGCAAGCTTGCTGCGTTCTTGGAACGTGTGTGATTCGCAGTGAGCCAGCTACTTATTGTAGCGAGTGAAGACTTTCATGCGTACATACTAGAACCTAGTTAGTGCATCTGGCACGTTACAGTCATAGCTCGTTAATAACTACCCATTACAAATAGCCCCAACAGCGGATACTGTAATTATTCTAAACAAATAGTTTTTTGTTGTAGACATTTGATTACCATTTTGATTACCTTACACTTGATTACCATTTTGCCGTGAGACGGGTGGATTTTGTGTAAAACTTGTACAAAATTATACATTTGCAGAGCTTTATTATTATTATTATATCGTTCATCTGTTTTAACCGACTTCAAAAAAAAAGGAGGGGGTTCTAATTTCGACTGTGTTTTTTTTTGTATGTGTCCCTGGCACAGTTGTCCGGAATCAGACTTTTTGCATATATGGTGGCAGCGACACACCATAGATATCCAACCGCCTATCAAGTTGTTAGTGAGGCTGGCTGGAATTGACCCGTTCACTACTGTTATTTGTAGTTAATAGTCAATTATTGGCTAAATCAGGATTACAAGGAGTGTTACGTCTTCGCATAGATACTTTGGAGCCCTATTTACTCGCAAAGTTAGTTTCATATTATTACAATTGCTACGAGTATTTTGTGTTGATTGTCTATGATTGCCTGTGGTTTATATAAAATATAAATGATGAAGATCAAATTCCTTTTTTTTTTAAATACACTGTCAACTAATTCAATTCAATTGCTTGTTATATTTATGCGTGTCTTTCGGACGGATATTATCAATTTTATAGACTGTGACCGTAACATACTTTTAAATAGACGAATACAGTGCCTACTACCAATTTTTGTGCTAAACAATTTATATCTACTTATACACGCGCCACAAAATGAAAAATACTATACGAAATCGTATAACATATCGCCCAGTAGTCTACGTCACTAACAACAACTGTGGAATAAACATTGGCATGGCCATAAACTCGACCTGCCTGCAGGGCGCCAACTAGCGATGACACCCGTGCCATTACTGGCACC